AAAGCGAGACTCATCACTGAAGATTGTTCTACTCCACTCAGTTACATTCGAGTGCGAATGAGCCCGACACCACTGCAAACGAATTTGACGTTGTACAGAGGTCAATGGTAGTCCACGCAAGGGGCGCCGTGACCTCAGCCCCCTTTCTGTGGGCCGTCTATGAATGGTCCTTGCGGTCACTGAAGCACTAGTTGCACGTACGATCGATGATAATCATGCATCTGGGGCTGTGAGTGCCGTTCTGACGATTGCTCGATCTTCACGTTCTGTCGTTTCTCTAGGCCTACCGCTTCCTTCTTGACGCTGTGTGCGGTCATGGTTCACGCATTCCTGCCAACATCGTCTAATCGCGGCATCGCTCCTGCTCAAATGTCCATCTATTCGCCGATAAGACCAACCGGCTTATTTGAGCCAACTACACGACCTCTCTCATTTTCTAACATCAGCGCATATCGTTCGCGTACCTATATGCGAGGCATAGTTCTGTCTACCAGAGTACACGGAATGAAGTTCGTGAAGAATTTATGACCTGGAATCGTAATTTCTCCTCTTAAATATCCTGTCAGTTGCGCAGATCAGATGCGCTGTAGCGACAACCGTTCATTTATTGGCAGCCAAAATGTAAAATTTTGCATTTTCCGTCGAAACGTGTATGCATATCAGTTTGTGTTCAGTTTGCATTCTGTCTTCTCGGTGCGTCGTGGTGCGTCCCTTTTTTTTTTTTTTTTTTTTTTTGTTTGTTTAAGAGTGTATGTTATACGCAAGAGGTATACGAAAACGACCATACAGTTAAAGCCCTTTCGCCGGAATTTAAAGCCAGAACCAAACTACCAGTGTACAGCGATTTCAGTGTTTGGCCTGTGGTGGGCCCTTGTGTCTTTTGGATTGATTAGAAATTGCACTGTTAGTATCGGAGTCGGCGCCTGAGGTGGTGCAATCGATGCAGCAAAATTTAATGGCGGCGGAAGTTAGAAGACGTAAAGATTTGCACTGGATGGCGAAAGACTATCAGAAGACTGGAACTAAATTCATAATTCAAGTTCTTCGAGAAACTTGTTTAAAATGGGATCAAAATCTTCCGTCAGAATCGAAATCTAAGTTTTAGGAATGGTTAAACTAAGTAACGAAGTCTCAGAGGTTTGACATTAAATTTTCCAAAATGTTAGAAACTCGGACATTTGCAGGATTGAACTAATACTTACAAAAGCATAAGCTCTAACGATGTTACTTATTCGCAAAAGATGATTTTTCAAAAAACACTCAAAGGTTTTCTATTTATAGTGACTATAGCTGCCCAGTTCTCTGTTTACAAGTAGCAAAAGAAAATTATATATACCTATCTCCTTCAGTTATTTAACAACTTGAAAAAATTCTTTTTCTTCCTTTTTTTGGGGGGAAGGGGAATGACGGGATAATTTTTGTAAACATCTTTCATGAACGCTAATTGTGTAAAAGTACTTATAAAAGCTATTAGTTACATTAAGTTAAATATGTGCATTATTAAAATTAAATTTAAGATAAAAATTAAGAATGCCTATTGTTTTCAGATCTCTCACTTTAAAACACTGAACTCAAAGCACATTTATAGTTGGAAAAATAAATTAAAGGCTTTCTGCTTTAACACCACAGAATCTTAGAAGTTGACCTAGAAAGATTAAGATCTGCTTAAGGCTGGAAATAGATATAAGAACTGATGTTTTATATTAAACCATATGCATGATTAATGCTATGGTAGCGTAACTTAACATAACATAATATAAAAAAAAAGAAAAATCTCTATTGCAAATACTTCTATCACCATAATATAATGCATTTTAGAGTTGAATTGTAATTCAAGGATCTCTCTCTCTCTTTTTTTCTTGGGGAAGGGGCGTAAAATCATTAGCAGCCGAAAAGCTTCTTTCATCTTGCGTGGAAGTATGTTTAATCGTAAACACCGCGTTTTTCACGTCCAACAGAGATTTGCCAGTAGGCTGGCAACGATTTTGTATTGCTTTATGAATTTCTTAAACGGAGTTCGAAATTTATTATCGCCCCGAAATTTCAGTTTTTTTAAAACTTTTGTTATATATAATTTAAACTTAAAGAAGCCAGTTAGTTTTCTGTATTATTGGTATGCATTTTGCTAACCGATGCTTTTGTCATTTTCAGAGCCAGAATTATTTTGGCTGCATTCAAGAGTTTCTTTCTTCTCAATAACTGTTTTTAAAATGTCTTTTCCTGAACAACCAAAGTTTTGACGACATTCATAATATAACAATATTTATGATGATGATGATTTTCACATTTTGAACAGCTCGTTTTAAACAAATGATTATGTATTATCTTAATTTCGGGGAAATAAATTTATTTTTTAATTATTATTAACGAAATTATTTTTATAGAAATATCATAAATACTTACTTAACTTACTTACTAACTTACCTAACTATCTCAGGTGTTGAATTAAAATCTGCATACCCAAAATTAGATTGCAGTTTCTTTTTAGTTTTACGATTCATAAATTTTGAATATATAAAGTATTCCTTTAAATTTTTTTTAGCCCAAAGGGGCAATTTGCTCACAAGTGCTATTATTTTCATTTTGGTATTTTGCGTTGGTTTACTATAAACGGCGCGTTTCACATTTCAAATTGTTACCGCCAAATATTATACCCTGTTATATTTAAAGAAATTAAATGATGAAGAAGCTGCATGAATGTATGCATGTTTCTCGCATTGCAAAAAAAAAAAAAAAAAAAAAAAAAAAAGGTACCTAGAGCCATCAAATTTTGAGTAACGTAGTCCTCCACTCGAATATGGCCATCTGGAAGCCAGAATTTGGAATTTGGTTTATTACCTAATTCATATTTTGTAAAACGTTAACGAATTTTTTATTAAGAAAATGAACGATTTTAAAACGAGGAATGGCAGCCCTGTACGTGGAGGGAGGGAAAGAGAACATTTTTATCTCCATTGCGCGAGACTGTATATCGGAAATTCTAAAGATATGTTCTTTTTAAATTATTCTGTGATATTGCTGTTGAATTGAATTTTATGGTTTAAGTGCGAAGAACACGATATTTAATTAATAAACGGGTGGAATATAAAATCTGAAAGTTTTCTGAATTTTTTTTTAAATATTCCTTCTATATATTTTTTTAAACTTTAAATCCTTAAAAGGGTTAGGCTGTAATTAGAAGTTCTCAAATTGCAATTTATTTTTTTCATTTTTAATTTCATCATGAAGCTTCTGGTTCTCAACCATTTCTAAATTTTCAAACAAAACGCGGTCCACTTCATTGTTTCTTTCTTTTACCCTTTCTTTTCCCGTTCTTTTCTTTTTCCGTTCAACAGTTATTTCGATAAGCTTTAAAGTTGCTAATAAAATTTCAGTAATTTATCTTCAATGTTAAAGCTTATCAGGAAGCATTAAAAGTTACTGTTACAAATTACTTTACAGAAAATTTCTCTAAAGCTTTCAAAATTTTCTGGAAAAATTCGAAATAAGAAACAAATAATTTTGCAGAAAAGTCTCTAGCTCCTTTTATTTATTACACTAATGACAAAAATGTTCATAATTATCAGTTTAGTATATAACGAATTAAATATATTTTAAATTTTTATCAGTTAAATATATATATTAAAATAAAAAATAAAGAGTAAAATTTTTAATAAATATATTTATTGTTCTCAAACTTCTTAGTTTATTTAAGCAATAGCGCTGCAATTTGAAACATAAATTAAAAAACTTCGTGTCACGTAATATTGTGTGACAGCATTCTGGAACTGGCTCTTAGCCCAGGCTACGTGTTTGGTAAAATAAACGATTGACTTCATAAAGTCATGTGAATGTCAAATACTATGGCAGGGAAATGTAACATACAGCCCAATACGTTTGGAAAGAGCTGCTAAAGATTTTTCTGATGTTAAAATTTTACTTTTCTTCAGTAGGTCTCTAGAAGAAATGTTTTTTTTTTTTTTTTTTTTAGCTCTTTAAAATATCTGATGTGGACACAACATGACTTTCTTGCACAGAATATTAAATTATAAGCAGTTTTTGTTGCATATAATTTAAACTTATTCCTTCGAATTTCATTAGATATATTTCTCATTCAGTTAATTCAGTTCTCACTTCGCGGCAAGACAAAAATATATAAAACATCAAAATATCTTTACTAAAAATTGAAAAATATAGAAAAATATAAAACACCAAATACAGTTAAAACAATTTTCTACGCAAAAACAAGCAATTCGGCCAGCGGGCGAGAAGGCAGATTTTTCGGTGCACAAAACTGAAAGTTTACTTTTGGTCCCAGTCGGCAAAAAGACACTGAAGATGTAGAAACTAACTTACTTCATTATTGTACTAAAGAGTTTCAAATGTAAACAAATATGCCTGCTAAAGTAAAAGAGCAGGCTTAGTCTCACTTAAACAACTTTTTAATTGTTGATAATTCTACAATTATAGCATGCAGATTAACTAAAGGCATAAAACCCTTAGCCGGAAAATAAGAACAACACAATTCAATCATTTTTAAAGCAAAAAATGCACAATTTACCAAGATATCAGAATAATAATAATAAAAAAAAAACTGAGCTCACGAAACCGTTCAACAGAGTGTATATATATATATATAGGTGCACAGTTACAAGTTATGGCAGTCCTATATGCAAAATACGTTCGTACGTACAGACCTCACGGAAAAAAAAAAAAAAAAAAAAAAAAAAAAAAAAAAAAAAAAACCTCATCTGAATCCATTTTAAATACTTTTTACAAACCGTTTTGGGAAAAACGTCGTTAATTGCATTCGATAGCTGTCAAAATGGATATTTAAAAGTTAATACTTTTTCGAGAATTAAATTTGGTGTGCACATTCAGTGCAAGAGAACTCTTTTATAAATCTGGTTATTTTCTCGGACGGAAAGACAGAGAAGGAAGTTTCTATCCGAAGGAAGTTTCCATCTTTTAAATATTTGCTACAATTTTTAAAAAGTAAAATATTTTAATATTTAGCTTACCACTTGTTGCAAATATTACACATCAGTTTTCATAGTTCAAATCCTTGCTTGGTACACAGAATGAATAAATAATTCCAGCGGTATATTAGCCGTACGCATTTCAGTACAAGAGAACTCTTTCATTTGTTTGTGGAATAGTTATTTTATCGAAAGAAAATAGTGCAAAGTTCATTTCGCAATATCGAGGTCTTTTCGATGATAACGAGCTTAATACTTTCGTCTTATGGTGATAACGGATGTTAAGCCACCTTTTTGAAGTACTGGCGAACAAAAATCGGTGAATTAATTAAAAAAAAAGACCCTTTTATGTGAATTAGTTTTATTGGTAAAATTATTTTTGTAACATCTTTTGAAATCAGGAATGCAGCTGTATTTTTTTGTTAGGAATAATTCAGTGAAAACATTCGTCTGCTGATGTTCATTTCTGTCACAAGCGTAAATCGAGTTTAAATTATTTACTACGTTTTCTAAAGAATACAGTATTAAAAATATCTTTACTGATGATATATTTAAGAATTTTCAGAGAAGTCAGAAACATCTACTATTTCTAATTCAGTCGTTCTGAAATCTTAAATTTACCTTTTAAATTATTGGTAGCATATTACTGCCTTGTACGAAGTAAAGGAAGTGTTGTAATCACGAAAAATTTCGGGTATCATATTTCAACGTAAACATCCATTTTCACCACTCTCGAATCCATATGAACGATTTTTTTTGTATGACTTCTGTACTTACCAGTAGAATAAAGAACTCCTTTTTTTCCAAAACGGATTGTAAAATGAATTTAAAATGGGTTGAAAAGGGATTTTTTTCGTGACGAAGAACAACATAATTAAGTGCATTCGTCATGATTAAGCATTTTTGTTCCATAAAAGTTCTAGTATAAGCGTAATTCGGCTAGCAGATTGTTGGAAAAAATGTTGAGTAAAAAAAAAAAAAAAAAAAAAAAAAAAAAAAAAAAAAAAAAAAAGGCCTTTACTTCGTGAAAACAAAATGGCGTCCAAAACAAAACTAGCAGGTTGCTGTAGCAGGGTTGGTCGCCAAATTTTCTCCAAAAAATCGCCAAGTTACTATAATGTAAAGATTCACTAGCAGATTAAAATTTCAAGAAATTTTGACGAATCACGTAAACATTGTACCCGCATAATTTTAAAATTCGATAATATAACTTCTGCTATATCAAAAGTTTAACGCCAGTTCTCTTTGATACTGACATCATTTTCGTACTACGTGCAATTTCTTTATATCTCAAGAGCGGTAAAGACGCTGAACACTGGTAGTTCGGTCTGAGGTTCGAATCCCGCGAACGCCTGGCTGCATGGGCGTTTTCGTGGTTTTCCCCATGTGTAACGTGTATACGAGCCAGTTTCCCTTAGAAAGTCCTCCACGAAAGGCATCCCTCCCTGTAGGCAGATAACCCTCGTGTGCTTTGCCATAATTAAATACACCAACACCACCTTTATATCTCAAACTTGTAATTAACTATATAATTAAATATTCAAATTATTTTAATTATAAATTATTACGTTATTCAAATATTCAAATTTTTGATGGCTCTAGGTACCGTTGTTTTATCAATATGCAAGAAACATACATACATTCATGCAGATTCTTCATTATTTAGTTCCTTTAAGTATAATACAGGGCTCTAATATTTGGTGGCAACAATTTGAAAAGTGAAACAACGCTTATCGAGAATCGACGCAAAATGCCAAAACGAAATGAATAGTCATTCTGGGCAAATTGCTTCTTTGAACTAAAAAAAAAAAAAAAAAAAAAGAAAGAAAGAAAGAAAACTTGTAAAAATTCACTTTCATGCCTGTTTCGTCATCAGAAGTATCTTTAGCGGAAGTCTTACAAAATCTTGGACTGTGTTGTCATTTAGCAAAAGTAAAATCTTAAAATTTATCTTTCGATTTTAATCAGTCAACTATTAATTCAAAAACTAAGTGATTTAAAAGCAAAAACGCGCTTTTTAGTAGCTGGTCGCCACCCCCTTTTTTTTTTTTTTTTTTTTTTTTTTTGTTATTTAAAAAATATTTTACAAAATTAATATATGTTAAAACACCTTTAATTTATAATCCAAATGATAATTTTTATGGTCTTCTGAAGCTTTGTTGTGCTTAACGCAAGCATTTTTAATGCCTTATGTTACGTAATTGGTAAGTACACTTGTTTATGATATTTTACATTTTGAAATTTTTCTAAAATTGAAATTCTTATTAGCAAATTCATTTTTCAGGTGTTTTACATTTTTTTTTGGTGTGTACAAGTGTAGAAACTCAAAAAAGTTAGAAAATTAAAAAAATGATAATTGATTAATGATGTAACACCCGGATTCGAACGCTTAACCTGCGTAAAGGGAAAATGAATGGAATGTTTACTAAAACTGTAGCAAAATCAAAATTGTTTCACTCGCTTTTGCCAAATTTTCAGAAAATGCCAATAAGTACCGTTTCCAAATGCTAAAAGCACGGGGTTGCCTCAGTAGTCGAATGCTTTGAACCCTTTTCCTCGATCATGATAAGCGATGTAAGCACTTGACGATGCTTGCGCAACTATTGCAGGTTTAAAATTCTATTCAAACGTGATTTCAATATACATACATAGTGCTGCCATCTGTCCACAGATTATGCTGTGAAATTTATTCCTTTTTCAGACGAAGCATTGATTTGCTAAGGTATTTTTCCGCTCCCATACTACATTTTTGTAATTATTAGAAAAAAATGCAAGTGCCAAATATTAAGTATCTTCTTTTCAGTAGAGTAGCGAGCATAACAGGCGCCCGGGGCAAAATACTTTTTTGGCGCCCTCGCCCCCCCGAAAAAAACACAGTTATATGATGAAAATCTTGTTTGGAGACCATTTGGCGCCCCTCTCTATGCCACTGCTTCTTTTTAGACTCTTAACAGGCATCTACAGATATTATAGCGTGGAAATTAATTGGGGTAAAGCGATTGTTTCACAGAATTTCAAGTTGGTTGTCAGCTGGCGTTAGCAGGTCCCTAAAAGCATTTTAAGTACCTTAATGTGATCTGGAAATCTGCTTTTGAGTACTCAGAACTGATTTAGACTACAAATTAGTATTATTTTGCCATTTTAAAACTTGTTTCTTTGAGAGGAGGAAGTTATTTTGGTATACTTTTTAAATACTTTTCGCGTTGTGCATTTGAGCACATTAAAAATGTACGTAAACCGTAGAAACAGAGCAAAGCTTATCGCTCTTAGCAGTCTCACATCCATGATTGTAAGAAGTATTGTTTCTGCGGTTGGTACGGGAAATTAAGCGTATCCCGAATTGTGAGGGGACACAATGAAACTAATTGTTTTTCCTTCATTGTACGAAGTAAAGCAAGTACTGTAATCGCGAAAAAATTTCAGGTACCTTATTTCGAATAAAATATCTATTATGATCAATCTCGAAACTATTAAACGACATTTTTCGTGTATCATCTGTATTTACGGCAGAATAGAGGACTCTTTTTTCCAAAACAGATTGTAAAATGCATTTAAAATGCATTCTAAAGAAATTGTTTTCTTGACGTCTGTACGTACCTACGTATGTATGTATCTCGCCTAACTCAAAAACAAATGGCCTAAGAATGCTGTAATTTTGTATATGGAATTGCTGTAGCATGTAGTTGTGCATCGCCATTTTTGGTTGCAATCGCCCGCTTCAACCTACTCTGGTACCCGGCTCAGTGAGCTCGGATTATTTAGTTCACCGAAAAATTTGTCTTCCTGCTCCCTTTCTTTGGTCCTTTCTGAGTAAGATCTCTAATTCAAATTGTAAAAATTGTTTTTAGCAGTATGTGGTGTTTTATATTAATGTATTTTATAATTTTTAAAGAAAATGTTTTGAGATTTTATATATTTTTTCCTTGCTGCGAAATGAGAACTGAATTATTTTAATGAGAAATATCTCTCTCACGAAATTCGAGGAAATAAATTTAGTTGAATTGCAGGAAAAAAGGTGCATAATTTAATAGGCCGTAAAAGGAAGCCATGTAGTGGTCACGTCAAATTTTTATTATACTGTAAAGGCAAGACTGAGCATGGAATGCAAGCGAAAAAATTTATTTGGTTTCGCCATTTGTAAATTGAAGGTAGAGACAGAAGCAAGAGAAAAGGCGTTTCTGGAAAAAATGCCTTCGTCAACGAATTGCTGCAAAAAAGATGAAACTTTTTTTATCGAAATTATACAGCAGCAGCAACACAAAGAAGAAAATCAACAACAGTATGAGAATAATGCTCAAATGAAAAGAAAAAGAATACACACAAACAAAATAACAGCATGAGCAGGTGCAGCAAACCACGCAACAGCCACTGTCAGAAAAACACCTGTAAATGGAACATTTAGATGGAAATGAAACTAATTGAGATAATCCAGCATTATAAAGAAAATTCAGTGAAGAAAAATTATAAATATAATCAAGAACGTTTCTAAGTTTGATGTAGATATTCAAAAACTGGACTGAATATAAAGCCGTCTACAATTCTCAAAGCAGGTATGCTAACAAAAAGATATTTTGTAGACATTTACTAAAGGGAAATAGAAAAATCAAAACTGGCTCTTATATTGAAATTCTTCAGGATTGCGTCCCATGCAAACATATTTAATAGTACGAGTAATGCATCCAGTGAAGGTGTCAACGATTGGAAACACAGTGAAGATATTTCGGAGCATGAAAATTCAAATATGAAAAAAACACTTATATACTTGTATTAACCAATCTATATAAAAATGTGAATATTCAAAAGAGTTGCGTAACGCATGTTACGTAATTGGTAAGGAATGACTAAGAATTTGTTCATAATATTTTACATTTTGGAATTTTTCTAAAATTAATGAAATTTTGTTAGCAAATAGCAAATTCCTTTTTCAGTCTTTTTATAATTTTTTTTTAAATTAGAAAATTTTAAAAAAAAATGACAATAGACTGCTGGTTATAACTGCCAATAAGACAATGGGTGCTCCGGGATTCGAACGCTCAACATGAAAGGAAAATTAAGACAGCATTATTAAAACTGCTGCAAAATCAAAATTATTCCATTTGTTTTTACCGAATTTACCTAAAAAAGCTAATAATTAAGTTTACAAATGCAAAAACTTTACAAAAACGTAGGATTGCGTCAGTTGTCAACATGGATG